ATGTTTTTTTTAAAGTCATGACTCTTCCCTCTAAACGTTTCGTTCCAAGGTTATTAAGGCAGAGAAGAGAAATAGAGGCTAAATGCACTTCCTCAATTTAGAAATGCTTCCAGCTGCTACAACAAAAACAAACAAACAAACAAATAGATTCTTAATAACTTCTTTACTCCTTTAAAATATCTAAACAAGCTAAGAAACCTCACTCAGGTTTTGTATGACTTTAAAAAAAACATTTGAAAATCCAATTTCTAAGCAACATAAGGAAAATTTAAGCAAAATGAGGGAACAGAAAAGTATTTCTGGAAACCATACACATTTATTTAAGTAATAGAATTACCAATTAATGAACAAGAATCGTGATTTCACATTATTAGATAAATCACAGCTTCTTTCACATTAATGTCCTGGATGAAGAGGGCCTGACAATTGGCTTTTATCTAGAAGCCTAAACTGAGGCTTGGTATCTATATTGCCAGAGACAGAAGCTTTTTCAATATAAGAGATTTAACTCATTTTTCTCTTAGCTAGATAATTAAAAAAACACCAAAGAAGCCCCCAATTAAGGAGTGGCCTTAATTTGATCTTCCTTTTTATTTACATAAAATTCTTAATAGAATTAGAACTAGAACTATCTGCACAGAAATAAAGAATATGGAAGTTTTAAATCTTGGCATGTCTTATTAGGGGGGTATAAATCTGTCTCTGGCCATTTAGTTTTAATAGAAATGTTAAAAGCATAAATTAATCAACCCGGTAGCTTGTACCAAGCCAAAATACCAGAAGCCGTGATGTGGTTTATTGTTCATTATGACAGAAGAAATTTCAAGTTTTGCTAATTGTACATGCACTTAGGGACTCTTAAACAGCATCCTCTAAGATCAAAAAACTAGGTAGAGCAAGAAATGTCTCACTTCATGGAAGTTTTTTGAAGGGTAACATTAGGCCAAAGGGGTAGAGTCAGATGCATCTTCAATAATTTGCTTTTCAAATGAGAAGGCTGACTAAGGAAAAAAGCCTCTATCAGAGCTGGGACATGTTCTGCCCCTTTTCTTGCCCCTATCCTATCTCACATAATCACATCGTGACCCGTCAAAAGCGCGAATGTCAAAAGTGCGCCGACAAAACCGTGATGTCAAAAGCGCGCCGACAACAGCGCGCCGACAGAAGCGCGATTTAAGTTAAGGTAAGGTTTAGGGTTAGGTTTATGTTACAGCGCGCTTCTGTTGGCGCGCTGTTGTCGGCGCGCTTTTGACATCACGGTTTTGTCGGCGCACTTT